AAAGAAAGAAAGAAAGAAAGAAAGAAAGAAAGAAAGAAAGAAAGGAAGAAACACGTGGTTTTACGATACGACACCAGTCTTTCAGTCAAGCGTTCAGGAAACTGAATAACATTTTACTTGTCAGAAGCTTTTTCCTTATTGGACAATAATTTATCAAACAGTCAGYAGTTGTGTGAATGTAATATAGTATTTTTCTAGCACAGTGAACTTTGTATGACAGTTAATTAAAGGTTTTAGTGTGTGCAAAACTGGTTTCAACTTCAATTGCCTCAAAAAGTGCCTCGAAACGTGGGATTTTGAGTTGCTCTTTTTTCCCCTTCCCCACCCCTCTTCACCCCTCTCCCCCTCCCCCTACGGCCCTCCGCTTGTGTCTGAAACTTCGCTGTGCGTTACTGCCTCAAAACGCAGTGTTACAGTCTGTAAAAGATACGGAGATAAAAATTGAGTTGTACACAGAACTTTTGTTTTGGTATTTATAGTAGAAAATGTGTATGAAAAGATATCGAGCTTTAAAAAAAATTGTGCTCCCCCTCCTTCCCCCATCAAATATCGAGTGCTATACAAACAATCATTCGATTGGTTGTTATTATTACATTAGTGTGTTGTGATTGGCGAATCGTGTTGGCGCCGAAACCTTTTGTTCTTTGAACGAAGCTATACTTTAGCAGTTCACTTCGTCTTCTAGCAGCTATAGTTTTATTTTCTCTCTGCTCTCGTTTTTTTACCGTTTTTACGGCTTCAGAAACAGGCAAAAACCATTCCCCTTGCTCCTTAGAAAATTTCTTAATCCAATTTTTAAAAGTAAGTGTGAAAATTGTTTTTTTTCAGGCAGTTTTGAGTGGCCACGAGCCAAGATTTGCAAAGTGAAGTTGGCGCCAAAAATTGTGTTCGATATATGAGCTTATTGGTATTCCTAGTTTACGCTTTCCCCCTTATTTCTTGTTAATTTCTGTTTAAATTCCTTTTAGAAGAATCTGTTCAACTTTAAAAAACTTCTGACTGCTCATCTGCTTTGGAAACCATGGAAGGGTTTGATAGTAAGGACAACATAAGTTACTCCACGCCGAAGAAAAGCGCGCCAAAGAACACTATCAACTTCAATGACAGTGGCATTGATGGACGTTCTAGCGACGATTCAGCCATGGTAACTACTCCTCACTATTATTTTCATCTTAAAAAATCCTTTTTCCTTTTTCCTTATTCATTAGCTTTAAGTGAATCAATATTAAAGCTTTTAATATTGTTTCGCGACTCGTCAATCGTGCGACGGTTCTCCGCAAAAACTACGAAAGTCACAAAGATTGTTCAGGTCGAATATTTCAAAGCACTAAATTTTATACAATTGTTTATGAATAGAAGAATATTACTTAAGTATTTGGGAATTTATGTTTATTTTACTTTTGATTTTTTAATCGTTGATGTCCAAATTTATAATTTATAGATGTATTAAAGCTTAAATATAATGTTCGAAATTTGGTTTTATGAATTATGAATGATCAGAAACACCTTTACTAATGCTGTTCCGTTGCCTCGAAATATTTGATTTTATAAATATTCGAGATTTTAGTTTTGTAAATGAAGGAGTTCGGTCGGTTAGATGCACAATTTTAGCGGGAAGGTTTTGTTTATGCATGTGTGACGTCATAGTATATACCCCACATCGTGCGTAAGAGCATTGAACGAAGTCAACGAAGCACGTGTAGGAGTGTAGGAATACTCGATCGAAAACTGTTCTTCTTTACGTATACTTCGTCAAGAAGCTTGCATTATGGCTTCAGTAAGTAAGGTTTGATATGTTTAATATGTCTATTTGGTGAGTGATTTTAAGATTTGGACCCTTTTTAATATCTGATCTTTTGTGTCACAAACGTAAGCAGTCGTTCGAATCGCCATCATCCGATCAATGTACCAGGAGGTCAACTTCACAGATCTCACGTTAGATTCGATTTTAGAGTCTAATCCTTTACGATAATAAGTTAAGTTACTATTTCAAGAAAAACTACAATTATTGTGTACGATAAAAAAATACTTGTTTTAATATATCATCGCCATTTAAGAGAAGTACTTTTTAGCATGGCGTAACGGCATCGTAGTTTTTAATATAGCATCTTATTAATATTACGCATAAAATGTACCTCTACCTTTTCAAATAGAACTACGACTAGTTTTTTTTGCATAAACATTGTTTATTTACACTGATTGCTTTTCAATTTGTCATATTGTTAGTACAATATATAGTTGATAATATTATTTATTTAATTATTTTAGATGCATTGAGATCTTTTAAATGCTTATATTAAACGTTATATTAATATTTTTATCTTGTTTTTTTTTTCCTTCTTTACTTTTATGATTATTGTACATTATTACAAAACAATTAGTTATATAGTAGTACAAGAAAGGGGTCCTTCGGATATCTTGCACGTGTTCCAACGCTTTGCTTGTAGGCCTTTGGTGAAGTTATGTTTGGGTTTCACAAACGCAAGGGAAAACTGAATTAATAGATCATGTTATAAGAGTCGAAAGTTTACAATATTCAGTTAGAAATTTTGTTATCCGGTTTTATTGCAAAAGCGATTCGGGTCGCTGAATTCGGCATTCGCAACACCGATTTCTTATGGCTTATAGTAGAACGTTATGGTAGACCGCTTACATGGTGAATCTCTTTTTATTCCCAAATGCTTGTTAAATAATTTTTTGTAGTTTGTTACAACTTGATTTATTTGCTTAACCCTGTAAGACTTACTTGTACACTAAATGAATTTGAAAATAATTATACAAATTGATAATATCAATAATTTATATAGTACCATGTTCACCTCAGGATCTATTGTTTGTGGAGGGATGTTTAATGACTAACATCCCTCCTTTATGAATAACATGAGGGAAAATTAGTTCTAATACTCTCTCATTAATTATGGATGAGAGAGTATTAGAACTAATTTTGGTTTAATAATTAATGAGGGAGTATTAGAACTAATACTCCCTCATGTTATTCATGAGCTTGTCCCTCATATGATAATAATAATAATAATAATAATAATAATAATAATGTATTTATATAGCGCGTGTTCCATCTGGATATGTAC